AATTAAGAGGTAAGACGACCAGTTAAAAAAAGCAGATCAAGGTAATCATTATTTCCAAAGAGTACTGTTATTTCCTCATTGGAAGGTTGGACACATTCACAGAAAGAAAAATCCAAAGAACGTTTCTACTGACTGGGGAAGTAATACAACTTCGTTTATTAGTTGATGCACTGGACATATTTTTATTGTCTGTTAATAACTGAAATCAGTGAAAAATATGAAGCAGAAATTTTTAAGTGACATTATCTAACTAAAACGTATAGCTTCATCAACAAAAAGTTTTAAATAAAAAGCGTCATATGTAAGTTAAACTAACAAAATATTCACACCGGTAATCTCAGCATCTCTGTAATAATACAATACTGGGATATTCGCCAGATCATTGATTGAAGTGCCTTTTGAAAGACGTATCTGCAAAAAACTTGAAAGTTCACTAGTCATTTGAGAAATGGTATGAAAGGACAGCGTACTTAGTTGCTTTCGGAAATATATAGACCTTATGTGTACTACGGAATAAGACAGCGTTTGACTGTAGTGACTGATTCGAGCAAAAACTTAGTGAGTGGAGTGCTCACCAGTTGATGAGATCATCATGGTTCGTGAAATAAACATTCTGTAGATTTTGTGTAAATCAGTAAAAATGAACAAAGCTTAATGGCTGTGTTCAAACAGAAGATCAGTGACTATTTATAGTTATTAGCCATTAAAATCAAATAAATTTTCCAAATATTTATATTTTTAGATCCCTCTTTTAATGCAAACAAATGACTACTACAGAGCAGTTGATAGATCACATATAACTTGATTATTTTAAGCAATGTTCCTTAGATATTATCACAATATTTAGCAAAGAGGTTGTGAAATGTGATTTACTCGGAAAACACCGGACAGATTCATCTAGTGCATTACTCTATGGTTGTAAATTTACTCACCTAAATGCTTTTTGACGTAACGTGTTTCTATTCTGGAATAATAGAACAATTACTATCTCATCATTTGAACAATTAATATAAATCAAGCGTCAATTAAACATATTGTATGTTAAACGACACTTCATCAGATTATATTACTCAATCGTATTTATAATTAAAACATTCCTCGTATTGACTTTTACTAAAAAGACTATTAAACGAGTATCAATATGTAGTAACCAATTTAGAGCTGTCGTAGAATTCCTGTCAATCCCAAGTCCGGATAAAAGGAGAGGTTTGTTATGAAGTTAGCAACCCTATTCCTTAAAAATAACCTTGCTAAAAAACGATAACCAGAAAATTCAACACTGTAGTGAAACTATTGAATGTTTTTCTAGTGCCTAGAACCTTGTCAGTACATGGGTTAAATAAAATAGGCGATTTATATAACTTCGTGTTTTGATATATTTATTATTACTATTATTATTGACTAAGAAACTCAACACAGCAAATTACGTCATATGGATTTATATCCACTTATTAGAATAAAGCGTAAGGAAAAATACAAGCGATTCGTCAATAAAATTATTTTGGTTCATAAGACATGTAACGCGTAAATCCAAATATTCCATAAATATTATCACGAAAAATGATTGTTTAGTCGAACTCATAAGGACGTTTATTATTAGATTTTTTGTGACTTCACTCGGGTCGAATGAGAATGTCACATGGTTGAATTCAGTAATAATTACTAATGAATAAAACAGTTACACTACTAACTCTTAGTTTTGAAAAACACAGCGAATATTTTAAAAATACCCAATTTCCCTGTTATGACCGAGAGTGGAGAGAGTCCGCTCTCCCCTACGAAATTCTCTCATACGGCTACACGTATACAGCCACTGCCAAGGAAGTCTTACCCACTGCCTTATTTACGAAATTGAGAATATGAAAAGTGAATGCCCAGTGCTCTACCCAACATGGCGGATACGAAAAATTCGCTATGGGGATTTAAGAACCCTGGGTCTAAACCAATAGTGCATATAGGTGCCAGGATCTTGGCAAAACAATCGGTGTATGAGCCTGTTGTTGGTCACTGGCTTCGACGAGACGGTATCTACTAGCGTTGCTCCACTGCCTTGTGGATTACACTTTTATGGAAAAGGCTCGGAGATCGGCTTCTTAAGGAAACCACTTTTTCTCAGTTTGAGCACACGGAGTGTCCCAGCCCATGAATAAACCAAATGATGACTAGAATTGGAAAAAGCATTGTTTTAATTCTCATTTTCACAAATCACACTAAACTACTTATTAATACTCGTTTTTATTTTACTTTGCATCACTTATCTACTCGTTTATTTCCATTTTGCACATTCTCTTATTCTTCAACTGCTTTAGCAACTCGCCCATGATGAAAACCTGTTCTGCCTAAACGATCTAGAGTCACCGAGCGGTCAAAGGTTAAATACTACCACCGAATAAGAATTTTGAACCAACCATTTGTTAAATCAAGTATGTCATTCAAGTTAGCCTTCTTCAACGTTCACACGGTAATACAGATCGGACAACAGAGAGGGTTGGACATGTCTTTAGAGGGTCTTAATATCAATGTCTATATGAGATCCACATTCAAGACTTTAGTGAAGTGCTACAAATTTTCTGTCACTTCGAAAAGCTTGTTTCGCAGGTATTTCTCAGGACTCTGAGAAATCTTCGTTTGGCGTTGATGTCGCACTAGGGCTGATTCACATCAAGTCGGCTTTGTGCTGTTAGATTAGGAAGTTCCATCAAAGTGAGAACAAATTTGTGTGAGGAACGATATCTTTTCGTCATCTCTGCCTATGCTTCAACAAGCTGCAGTTTGAATGCGATCAAGAATGAGTTTAATCATCAGTTAAGTGTTCTGCAGAAAGCGCGTTCGACAGACATTTTAGTACTATCCGGAGACCTGAATGCACAGGTCAGGTGACTAGACACAGAGAAGAGTAGTTTGAATAGCCAATGGAGACTTGCTGGTTTCAGGCCAGAAACTCTAACTTTGCACAGATTGAAACCTGTTTCTGACAAGCACTAACTATCGACATAGTAGTCGCCGATGTGCTACTTGGCATCCTTCATCTGCATCTAAAACCTGAACTCAGACTCTTCACATAGCTATCAGCTACCGCTCGTATGGTTATCTGCAAAACCACTCCCTTTGTAGTACTAATCTAGACTCTAACTATGACCTTGTTTGCACTCATCTTACCTTGCGTTTCAGTGGCTAACAAGTTTATCGCTCTAAACGGAATGGTATCAGCAAAGTGGTTGCAGCTTCCGTTGAGAATAAATATTGAACAGAGATAGGTTCAAGGCTAGCTACCGACCTATCAAAAAGTATAGATGAGCATTGAGTGCAATCACATGACGCCGAAGGAATGGCGAATAAAGTCACTTGGGTCTTTGCCAAACGTCCCGCTGATAAGCACTGGGTTTCTACAGGCTAGATCTAGCTCAGAGAACAAAACCACCATCCATCTGAGCTACAAATCTTCACTTGAGGACATTTCATCCCCTACGCTTTGTTTAAACCAGTCACTACAATAAATCACTGTTGCTTTGTAGTGCACAACAAGATATACACATTACCAAAAATAACTAGGTTTGCTGTCTTATTATGGCATTCGTACACGGAAGTGAACTCCCAAGCAATTTGTAGATATTCCCTCAAAAATACTTCGGCGTTTAATCTAACGACTATCCTAATATTGTATTACTGAAGAGATGCTGAGTTTATCGATGGAAATATTTTAGGAATGTAATTTATATATGACGCCTGGTATCTAAAATTCTTTTTAATAACTAAGTTGATGAGACTATTTCTGTTAAACAATTCTGCTTCGTATTTTTCACTAATTTGAATGCTTAACAGGTAACAAACATTATTTTCGTGCATCAATAGAACAGAGATTTATTACTTTTCTAGTAACTACAGTCACATAGAACATACTGTTATGATTAACTTAACACAAATATGTTTAACTGGTTTCTACAAACACATTATTGAATTTGTTAGCATGCATCGTTGATCACTTGGATGAACAATACAGTAAGGCCGATGCAACATACGGTAAATACATTCCTTTTAATTTTTGGCATCCCATTCAAACTCTTCGACATTTCTGAACTTTCATGAACAATCTCATTTACACACAAAGGTATATGAACGCTTCCTAAGGAAAACATTTTCTGGTATAATAAAATTTAGATTGTAATTTAATCTTGAGCTGTACAATCCATTAGCAAAAATATTTATTTCAGCTTCTCGAAATTACTTAAATCAATATTACATTAAATTTAATCGAAACATTTGAAATACCAATAAAGTTAGATTATTTGCTTCAAATGCTCTCTAGTTGCACATAAACCACATTAAAAGAATGTAAAATTTGTACAATGACAAATGCAAAAAACAGCTTGTAGCAAACTTCCAATCATGTTCATTATTGTATACGTTTAATGAAAACAAAAATCTTTTATCGATAAATACATGACTGAGTAAGGAACGTAGATGTTCATTTGCTAAACATGAGATTTCTAATATTAATCAGTAGTTTGATTTATGTGGATTTTGTACAAATTACATCTTAACTGAGACTACTGAACACTTCAGTCGAGTTAAAAAAAGGGCATTTATTCTTAAAACGAGCACTCAAACTTTTCTGAATTGACCTATCAAAGCTAAAGATACATTCTCAAATGCTAAACATCTTGGGCTAAAAATAATTTATGTTACCTACTGCAGAATTTTCGACTTCCTTAAGTACATAGGTTATGCCATATGTTTTCACAGGGATTTAACATTCTATAATGAACGTATTGTTAATTACATCATTGGGAAGATTTTAACCAACAATACAAATAAATTAAACTACCAAAACAGCTAACAAATTTCAGAGAGGATGAATGAAAGTGTAACCATAATTTTGCCAAAAACACCAATATACATTACAGTTAATGACACTAGAAATTGATTTAAAAACTCGATCTCAAGAAAAATATAAGCTATTACGATATCTTGTTAATTAATTGAAGGGATGAGAAAACACTTTACAGTTTCTTTAACAGCTCGGATGCCTCCTTCTTTGCCTAAGTGTTTTAGTTAGGTAGAAAAAAGCAACTGATTACCTCTTCAGTATCCAAGTCATCTTCCGTAAATTCTAACACTTTATGACAATAATTCTTAGCCAGATCATAATTCTTTAACCTGTGGTACGTTTTTGCTATATAGAGAGAATTTTTTACGATAGTTCCAGGAGCCTCTACAAAAACTTATTGCATATGAAGAACACCGATTACCTTTTTCTGAATCAAGAAGATAGTTAAGAGCCTATAGTGTTATTCGCATTAGCCATTAAACTTACTTCTTCATAGGTAGACGTAGGTGGTTCACCGAAAAAGGTAGCAGCAAACTTTCGCTTTATCCATGGAAGATCTGTAACCTCAAAACACCTATGGAAATTTTATGAAATATAAGTATCACTCACCATCTCCCAAGAGCGTGCAATGTAATAAAGTCGTCAGGATTTGATTTTATGGCTTTCTGAGAGATAAACTTGGTAAAACAGAATTACCATCCAGTGTTCCTTCATCTTAAAAGAATTTTCTATCCGCTTGTTTATTCCCTCAATTTCTGACGATAAGTTTAAAAATATTCCGTACCACTGTAGCGGTTCCAATATATATTATTATTAAATTATTCGGACATGAAACGTACGGAGTTGCACTTAGAATTTTCTGGATCTATTCGGAGCCCTTCGTCACAAGCTGAAATACCTTCTTCGATGTACTTTTTATACACTTGTTTATCGTTTTTACCCAGTGAGTTAGCTGATATTGGCTTAAAATATTTGGAAAGATTACCTAGATTTCTGCAGCTACGAGCCTTCCTCCAGTACAACTCAGGATCCTTGTTATCAATTATTGCATTGGATACTACAGAGTATGCTTCTTCATATTTCTTAGAATTCTCAAACTCCTCCCATTTTGCAATTACACCGTCCATAGCGCTAATTTGCTTATTGAGGCCAAGGACGTGTTACCTTGAAATCGATGTGTTTAAAGTATTTGTTGCGCAGACACAGTGAACAGTATACAAAATATCTTACCTCTCCCAAGTCTTAAGATTTTCTGCCGAAATTTTGAGCCAGAAATAAAGCGATTGTCTGACAGTTTATAAAATAGCATAAATTAGAGTTGCCCAAGATATCAAGATACACTCACCCACTTGAACATAGTAGGCCGTTTGTTTAATACATGTCATATCAAGTAGATCTGTAATAAAAAGAAAGATATAATCCTGTCTGCATCCTTTTATCAAACGTCACTTATAATGATATTGTAGGGCCAGCGAAATGTCACTGAGCCCTAGCCAAATCATCCGGCAGTTGGGTCATTGAATATCGAGCAAATCATCGATCCTCGTCAAGGCCAGGGTCAACCAACGCGCATCAGTTGGTCATATACCATGGACTGGCCCATGCGGCAGTGATCTTACTTTCTTTTGTATCTACTTTAACTAATATATTTCTGTAATAACGTTCTCTGTGTTGTACAGTCTTCAAAGCATCTATAGTACCTTGATACGTCGATGGGGTAGTCCACGTAAAGCGCTGACCACGAGGCATGACTTCGACGCCAGCTAGTTTGTCACACCATTCACATCTAACTCAAGTAGGCGTTCAATCATTTTGACATAGATCATCTACGTTGGTGATTTACAATATCCGAAGGAAATCTTCGTATGTATCTTGACAACTGTTTCTTTTAACGAAGTGATGGGGCAGATACCACCTCACATATGCTTACTTCAGTCTAAACTCACTTTTTCAAGATATGGAAGAACTAAACAAACTGCAGGGTCCTGTGTGGATTGTTCTGAAGTCCTCAAATTCAGTTTCAGACCTGTGTTTGCCATCAACATAACGCATCAAAAAGTGAAAATGCAACAGTAACCCCACTCCCATCATTCATAAGCAAGCTTAATTGTAGGGAATTCCACATGCCTGAAGTTTTTTGGTTTCGAGTGAAGGCACAAAACCGTTTGAATAATTTGGTGAGTGTCTAGAATGTGAAAACGAGCAACACTAAGTTCGATTAAAATAAGCCAGTCGGTATCAAAAACACTATTTTTCCTCACTACATTTTAAAAAACACATGACCCTGTAGAACTTATGGTCTACTATGATATTAGTACTGCTCTAATAATAGACCTAATCCTAAATTTGTAGATTTGTCATGATATGACTGCCTAATCTATAAGATCTTACGTGGAAGTCATACCATCGACTACACCAACTCACTGTATCGTATCAATTACCAATACATGATGTAGAACAAGGTTAGGCTAGAGAAAGAACAATATATTTAATATGAAAAGAAGATATAAGGTAACATTCAGCAGAGACCACGCCTGCATGGCCGAGCCATGCCGTTCGATCAACTCTAGTCCATTCAATTCATTATTCGCGCCTTCTCCATCGTTAGGTATTTCTTCGCGTTAAATATTGAATACCTATTTTCCGAGTAATCTCGTATTCAGCTTTGAGGATAGTGTGGTTATGGTCCAATGCCACTACACTACTCTCCCACCAGAATCAACGTGGTGTTGGTTCGATACCCAATTGGATGGGACTGTAGTGTGCCGAAGGTTACCAAGAATAGTAAGATTCCTCCGGGAGATGACAAGCTGAAAGATAAATCAAAAAGAAGACGGCAGCATCTGGTCGGGAAATACATGTAATAATTTTAAAATATCTGCCTTCATGCCTAACACGCTTACAATGAAAATTTGAGTGATTATTTGAGCTATAAAAAAATGGGATTACAATAATAATAATAGTAATAATAAAACGATGCGTGTGTAATAGCCGTTGGTTGATAACTTAACGTATAGGTAGTAAGTATTTTGTGTTTAGAAATATTAAAGTTATGAATATTGTAGAAATGTTAATATTAGTACTACTTTTAGTCTAACTTATGAAATCAAATAACGATTATGCCGGTAAGTTGTCCATATGAGTCGATTTCCAATTGCATCTGTATTAGTAGGCTAACTGAAGGAACAAAAGTATTACCGTGGAGAAGAATTCCAACTAGTGTTCCAGTTAGTTTGATACGGTTTATTTAGTTACGGAGAGATTTTCTCAACCCCATGTTTACCTGACCGTGATAGAATTTAGTAATACTACTAATACACATGAATGGTTATCAAAACAAAATTTAAATACATGAGTGAAAATTATGTGAGTTTTGGACAGATAGCTAAGAACAAATCGTTAAACATGAGTGTATTCGTAAGAGACATGCTCTAGACTCAATGTTCTGATCTGTGGCAGACTATTTATTTATATTTATACTTGCCGGCTGATTGGACATACAAGTTAGTTGCACGTATGAAGGCAGAATACGACTTAATTGAGATATAGTGGTTATAAGTTATTAAAATCAGCTAAGCCCATGTGTCATATTACTAAGTGATGTGCTGCAAGATGTATTTAGCTAAATAATTTTTTACAAGATGATTAATAGTAAGTGATGCTCATGTGATTATCAGGGAGAACATAAGTTGTAACCAAGGGGAGTACACTCCCAACTCATGCCTATGATAATAGCTTGAACTTTAGTCAGTGTTGGGGTAAATTCGACATTGATATTTTCAGTTTGCAGGAGATTTGCTCGACTGCTTATACTGATTATTTGCATGCATTATTGTGTCGCTAAACCATCAATTAGACTGACAAGGTTTTGAGATATTTACTGAATGAGCAACTGATAGAGAAACATACTGTAATCATCTGTAGTGAATGAAGAAAAACAACACTAGTGATAATCATAAGTCAATTTGCCGACCTATTTTGTTAATAGTTTCATTAATTTTATCAATCATATTACGTGATTGTCAAGTCATGACAATGCTTTATGACGATATCCTGAAACTATTATGTTTAATTAGTTATAGTGTTGATTGAAAATTGGCCAGTGGGAAAATAAGCATTGTTGCTTTAGGTGATTCAAAATTATCAGAAATTTATAACGTTAAAGAATCCGAGACGCCTAATTTAATTATAAATTTCAATTTAAAAATATTTGTTTAGTGTTAATTCTAGTAGGCTACGGAGTTTTGATTTTAAAAGTTTGTTCAACCAACAACTACCTGAGGATTTAGTAATTTTACTAGTGCAGTTGATAGTACCTAACTTTTTAATCTTATCATTTAAGCTATGTTCGTATTTTAGGCTGCTAATATGATAAACCAATCCATTAATCCAAATACGATTAGCAACAACGACTATGATGGGTTTATTAATAAATGTTAGAGGCGATCCAGATGATTTCTAAATTTAGAAGACATGAAGATATAGTAAAACGTACATACGGGCCAGGTTAACATGCAGGTTGTTGACGTATATGACGATTTAAAAAGAATGAACATGACCAGACAAGTAATTTTAAAGTTTAGACTGCTTGTGAAACTTCAGGCAGGAATATGATGCGTTATAAACATTCTATAAGAAGTTGCTGCATTTAGCCTAAAGATAATTATAAATATGTGGCAAACACAACTGGAAAACATATACATGTTAAGTACAGAAAAATCATCCAGTAAAATAGTTGAACTCGCCTGGATTATTTTTGAAAATTAGATTATTCAGTGGACGACATATATAACGCCATTCGTGAGGAGTAATGATCCAAAAGTATCCACAATAAAACATGCAGTATGGCAATTAATTCCAGGGTGCTTGATGCTGTTGCCACTCGCTCAGATCCAAAACAATCGAATGAATCCAGATAATTGTGTCAGCCATTGAACGAGCCATCTAAAATGACCTTATGATTGCAGGAAACTTATGGCTGAAACTCACCGTATGTTTTTAGAGAAATGTCATCCTTGTTGTTTGGCAATGGAACTCGAGAATATGAAATTAGGCAGGCAGTGGTCGGAAGAAAAGGATAATGCATAGCTTAAAACAGGATGAGGTGTTAAGCGAAGAAACACTAAGAATTAGATCCAGATAACTATTCAATCCTTGATTGCATTGTTAGCCAATGTATATTTACGCTATTTACAGGTCATATTTGCTAGAGCTTGATGTTTAAACAAGTTTATGTCGCTGAAGCAGGTAAATGCTATTAAAGCTTGTTAACGAACCATCAAAGTTAAATAGTTGATATAGATGATCAACTTTTATTATCGATTGAGCTAGTAAGTTATGTGAACTAATAGATATAACATTACGATAATATATGTGACCATTAATCAAAGGACTATTAGAATACTGGGTTTCCAAAAATAAAAACCGATTGAGAAGGTTAAGGTGGAAATAAGGATTAACAATAATAGGTTGCGTTTCTTTAGTCGGGCTTACCAATGTAGAACTTATGGTCTACTATGATATTAGTACTGCTCTAATAATAGACCTAATCCTAAATTTGTAGATTTGTCATGATATGACTGCCTAATCTATAAGATCTTACGTGGAAGTCATACCATCGACTACACCAACTCACTGTATCGTATCAATTACCAATACATGATGTAGAACAAGGTTAGGCTAGAGAAAGAACAATATATTTAATATGAAAAGAAGATATAAGGTAACATTCAGCAGAGACCACGCCTGCATGGCCGAGCCATGCCGTTCGATCAACTCTAGTCCATTCAATTCATTATTCGCGCCTTCTCCATCGTTAGGTATTTCTTCGCGTTAAATATTGAATACCTATTTTCCGAGTAATCTCGTATTCAGCTTTGAGGATAGTGTGGTTATGGTCCAATGCCACTACAACCCTATACTTTCAGCCCTTTCGAATCGCCTCTGTTTATACAATCCTCGGCCCATTGAACACCATACTTTGGCCTGTTTTCTCCAACCCGTTGAAACATGTCTCCTATTTCTATAAATAATATGCCGTGTAACCTGTCATTCTGATTGAGTAACTTTATATAGTGAAGTCTATAGCACTTGTAACTACCTGATTTTATCTGTAAGCCGGCATGCT